TAGACAAAGTTTCCATCTCTCTAAGCTCTGGTAGCGTAACGGTTACAAATCGGGCCTCAGGTCAGCAGTTCGAAATTACCAGCTGTACCACGGCGAAAGATGATGCTTTCTGCTCCCGTAAAGATTTACAGCCTCGGAAATCCTGTAACAGGGTCTCGAAGGGTCTGAAGGGACTCCATGACACATAGCCACACCACCAAGTTTTCCCTGAAGAATTCTAAGATCATCAATTTACAAATTAAATCAAAAGGCAGATTCGGTATCTTCAAGGGACTCAAATTGTGTTCCTTTTAAATGTTCTTTGAGTTTGGGTAACAAAAAATCTGAAGGAGCCAAGACCAGGAGTATAGGGTGGATGGGGTAAGATTTTCCAATGAAATTCTCATAGGACAGTTCTGGCTACCCTCGAAAACTGACCCTGTATAGTGTATTGTTGTTAAGTACTGTCGAGTGGGTTCCGACTCACAATGAGCCTGCATAGGGTTTCTAAGGAGCAACTCTGGTGAGTTTGAAGCGCGACTTTGTGGTTCACACCGAACCCGCGTCGTCCTTCGTCAAGTGCCATCGAGTTGGTTCCAACACACCGCGACCCTATATAGAGTTTCCGAGGAGCAGCTGGTGAGCTTGAACCACCGACCTTGCCGTTCAAACTGCTTTGCAGTCTGGTGCAGTAACCCACAGCGCCACACCAGGACTCCTCTGCAGTCCAGCACTTTATCCCAAGGTTCCACAGACAATAACAAAACCCTGAAGGTCCAAAATAAACAGTTCCTGCGAATCCGGCCTATTTTGTCCTTCGCGGTACCCCGTAGTTTGGAGCCCGGGATCCGGTAGCGCGCGCTTTTGAAAGCGCTGCTGTTGAATCACGAGAACTATTCAAATCTCAACGGCAGTTGTTGACAGCTTGTGTTGGCCCTTGAGGCGCTGAGGTAACCGTGGGATCTTATTGACAGCCACTTGGGACCCTCTCTTCTAGTCGGCCCACCTCGACTTCTCGTCTTCGCGATCTTTTTCTACCCCGGGCTCTGACTCCGCCTCGACACGCAGTTCGGGTAAGGGTGTTGCTCTGTCTCGGGAATGTTAAGGGCTTTGAGCCAGAACAAACTCGGACCCCAGCCTGTGCGCTCAAGCTGAGGCCTTTACGTGTGTTTTCGTGGAAGCTCTGAGGCTAGAAGGAAGTTTAAGAAAGTGCCATTAAAATGAGTAATTATCCTAGGAGTCAGCTTTGTTCACTGCGATTCAAACCCGAGTGCGCATCTTAAGGACGGGAGAGAGTGGGCGTTTCCAAGAAAGGAAATTCCCCTTTTTTCGAATCCGAGCCCGAGAATATATGTACTTTTTAGAAAATAGGATGTGTAGACAGATTTGGGGACCACTGACCTTTCAAGTTGCTATTGTTCTACCGATGGATAAGAGTGAGGCCTCTTTTGAAAGGAGACCGATTATTCTTAAGCTTTTGTTGTTAACTGCCCTAGAGTCAGTTTCTCCTTGAGTTGTTGATGTTGTTGTTGTTGTTGTTGTGATGTACCTCAAGTTCGACTCAGCGACCCTAGGCGCAACAGAAGAAAACACTGCCCGGTCCTTCTCCGCTCTCACAATCTCTGTTACTTTTGAACCTATTGCTGCTGCCACTGTGCCAGTCCATCTCGCCTTCCTCTGATTCTCTGCCTTTCCACTTTGTTGTTGTTTTTAAGTGCCATAGAGTCGGTTCCGACCCATAGCGGTCTGTGTAGGGTTTCCAAGGAGCGACTGGTGGGGTTGAACCGCCGACCTTGCTGTTCAAACAGACCTTGCAGTCCAGTGCATTAACGCACAGCATCACACCAGGACTCCACAGATTGAGTAAGTATTAGTGAAATAATGCAGCTCTGGTGCACACCTTTCCTAATATAAACCACTAGTATCCACTTGTTCTGTTGCAACAACTGCCACTTGGTCCATGTCCAGGTTCCTCATGAGCATAATTAAGTGTTCCAGAATACTTATTCTCTGCAGTGTTGTCCATATTTTGTCATGATCCACACAATCGAAAGTCTTTGCGTAGTTAATAAAGCACAGGTAAACATCTTTCTGATATTCTCTGCTTTCAGCCAAGATCCTTCTGACTTAAACAAGGATATCTCTTAACTCTACTTCCTTGTCTGAATCCTGCTTGAATATCCGGCAGATCCCTGTCAATATACTGTTGCAGCCTTTTTGAATTATCTTTAGCAAAATTTCACTTGCATGTGATATTAATGATATTGTCGGATGATTTCCACATTCCCTGGGTCACCTCTCTTTGGAATGGGCACAAATAAGGATCTGTTTCAATCAGTTGACCAGGTAGCTGCCTTCCAAATTTCTTGGTATAGATGAGTGAGTGCTGCTTCACCTTGTTGAAAGATTTCAATTTGTGTTCCATCAATTCCTGTAAACATGTTCTTTGCCAATGCAAAGTTCACCTTGGACTTCTTCCTTCATTCAATACCATTCATTGACTCTTGATCATGTGCTATCTCTTGAAGTGGTTGAATATCGGCCATTTATTTTGGGTACAGTGACTTTGTATTCCTTCCATCTTCTTTTGATGCTTTCTGTATCATTCAATATCTTGCCCATGTTGTTGTTAATCCTTCAGTATGGCAAGTCAGGGCTCGAATTTTTTTTCTTCAGTTCTTGCAGCTTGAGAAATGCTAATCGTGTTTGTCCATTCTGGTTTTTTAACTCCAGGTCTTTGCACATTTTGTTATAATACTTGACTTTATCTTCTTGAGTTGCCCTTTGAAATTATCTATTTGTCTCTTTTATTCCCTCATTTCTTGCATTTGCTTTAATTTCTCTATACTGGAGAGCAAGTTTCAGAGTCTCTTGTGACATCTACTTTGGTCTTTTCCTTCTTGTCTTTTATGTGATCTTTTGCTTTCTGCCTGTATGATGTTCTTGATGTCATCCAAGAACTCTTCTGGACTTTGGTCATTAGTGTCTAATGCATTAAGTGTGTTCTTGAGATGACCTTTACATTCAGATGGGATATGTTAAAGGTCATATTTTGGCTCTTTTGGACTTGCTTTAATTATCTTCTGCTTCAGCCTAAACTTACATATGAGCAATTAATGGTCTGTTCCAGTCTGCCCTGGCCTTGTTTTGGCTGATGAATAGCATATGAAGCTATTGAAAATACCATGGGTTAGGTGCATCTTAGCCCTCAAATTGACTTATTTGCCCTTGGACACTTTAAAGATGTCTTGTGCAGCAGATTTGCGTAATGCAATATGTCATTTGATTTCTTGACTGCTGCTTCCATGACTTTATTTTTCTTGGATCAACTATCAACCCTCATGGAAGCAGCAGTCAAGAAATCAAATGACGTATTGCATTAGGCAAATCTGCTGCACAAGACCTTTTGCAAGTGTTGAAGAGTGAAGATGTCAGCATGAGGACTAAGGTGCACCTGGCCCAAGCCATGGTATTTTCAATAACCTCGTATGCATGCGAAAGCTGGACAGTGACTAAGGAAGACCGTAGAAGAATTGATGCATTTGAGTTATGGTGTTGAAGGAGAATATTGAAAGTGCCATGGGCTGCCAAAAGAACCAACAGATCTGTGTTAGGAGAAGTGCAGCCAGAGTGCTCCTTAGAGGCCAGGATAGCCAAACTTTGTCTCTCATACTTCAGACATAATTGTCAGGAAGGACCAGTCGCTGGAGAGGATATCATGTTTGGTAAGGTGGAGGGTCAGAGAAAAAGAGGAAGACTCCCAGTGAGATGGATTGGCAATATGGCAGCATCAATGGGCTCAAGCGTGGCAACAATTGTGAGGTTAGCCTAGGACCAGGCAGTGTTTCGCTCTGTTGTGCATAGGGTTGCTATGAGTCGGTACTGACTCGATGGCACCTAACAACTTCCATGACTGTTGATTGTGGATCCAAGCAAAATGAAGTCTTTGACAACTTCTGTCTTGTCTCCATTTATCATGATGTTATTTATTGACCCAGTTGTGAGAATTTTTTTCTCTTTATTTTAAGGTACAGTCCTTACTGAAGGCTGTAGTCTTGATCTTCATCAGTAAGTATTTTAAGTCTTCTTCACTTCCAGCATAGAAGATTGTATCATCTGAATATATATATATATATCACAGGTTGTTAATGAGTCCTCCTACAATCCGAATGTCACGTTTTTCTTCATATAATCCAGCTTCTTGGAATATTTGCTCAGCCTACTGATTGAATAAATATGGTTAAAGAATACCATAGCACACAACACACCTTTCCTAGTTTTAAACCATTCAATATCACCTTGTTCTGTTAGAATGTCTGTCTTTTGGTCTATGTACAGTTTTCTCAGCACAATTAAGTGTTCTGGAAAGCCCATTCTTCACAGTGTTATCCATAATTTGTTATGATACATACATACCATCAAAAGTGTTTGCGCCATCAATAAAGCACAAGTAAACATCTTTCTGGTATTCGCTGCTTTCATTGTGGCTTGTATTGATGCTCTATTACTTATTATGGCTGATATTCCATTGCATGTATATGGCACATTTTGTTTGTCCACTCATTAGTTGATTGGCATTTGTATGTCTATTTTTTAGCACTGAGGAATAATAACTGCTTGCAGAGACAGTTTTTTAAAGGATATAAGAGACTTGCTAGCAACCCCTGAAAAATGGAAGTGGAAATGCAGTGTGAGAGGGAGACATTTTCACCTTTTAGTTCTAGGTGATTTTTTTTTTTTTAACCAAGTAAACATATTGTTTTCTCATTAACAAACTTAAAAAAAAAAACAAAAAGAAAAAAACACTCATTAGTAAGTGATTTTAAGTAAGTAAACAATTTTACCTCGCTGGCATTCAGTTTTCTCATTGTAAATACAATTGAACTAAATGTATGAACTGGTACCCTAGTAGCAATACTGTTTGACTTTTACCCTTATATATGATGAAATAAATAATATTACAGGAATTTGTTCTTTATAGATGCAATATAAATTTTCCATTTATTTTCATCATAGGACTTAAGAGTGGTTGTTAGAATGGAAGGAACAAATAATTTCAAAACTCCAAGCAAATTATCGGAAAAAAGGAAATCTGGTAAGATTGTTATTAGAACTGTTTTAGCATTGATGCTTGATCCTTTAACTATTATTTGTCATGCACAATCAATTTTTATGTAAGTCTCCTTTATAATGTTGATCTTAACAAATCACACGTATTATATAGGCCAAAATTTGGTCATCTGAAGACTAATTATATTGACATTTCAAAAAGATTTTGATCTCTATTTTGAAGACTCAACTTAGCCTGAATCATTGAGAAACTAGCTTTTCTACCTTTTCCCTCCAATCCACGCATTGCTATTGTGAGGGAAAGATGTTTTCCCAAGGTAGTTCAGTGGGTAAAGAATAATCCTTTCTGCAAACAGTGCTGAAACCATTGAATGTTCATATGCAAAAAATGAACCATGACCCTTGGCTCATGCCATAGACAAAAACTACACATTTTCTAGAAGATAACATACAAGGAACCTTTATGTTGTTCATTTACAGTAAGTAGAGTTTTGTATTTTGACCTTGTGTTCTATGACTATGCTAAATTCGCTTTCATTTTAATCGCTTTTTTTATTGATTGGGGTTTCCTACATGTATATAAACTTTTTTTCTGAGCCATATGACTTTTCTTTTGCTCCCTTTACTGGGCTGGCTCTAATATAATGTTAAATAAAAGAGTTGTAAATGGACAGGGAGTCCTGGTGTGGTGCTGTGGGTTAATGTGCCATACTGCAAAGCCATTTGAACTGCAAGGTCAGCAGTTCAAGCTGACCAGCGGCTCCTCGGAAACTCTATACAGGGTCGCTTAGGGTCGGAACCGACTTGACGGCATTTCACAACAACAACAACTTTTTCCTGATGAAGTATTACGCTGTTTTTGTGCCTTGGAGTCAATTCCCACCCATAGCGACCCTGTATAAGGTTTCCGAGGAGTAGCTGGTGAGCTTGAACTGCCGACCTTGCAGTTCAAAAGGCTTTGCCGTATGGTGCACTAACTCACAGCACCCATTTTTCAAAGATGCCCCCATTATCAGATTGAAGGATTTTTCAAGGAATTTGTCCATTACTCTTAAGTTGTCAAACATATTGGCATAATGTTATTCAGAATGTGCCTCTTTAATGTCTGTAGGGTCTGCGGTGACATCTCTTTCATTTCTGCTACTGGTCTTGTATATGTTCTCTTTTGTCCTTGGTCAGTTTAACTTGAGGTTTATCTGTTTATTGCTCTTTTTTAAAAGCAGCTTTTGTTTTGCTTAATTTCTTTTTCTGTTTTACTTTTCTGAGTTTCATTGATTTCTCCTTTATCATGTCTTTCTTTCAGTCTACATTGGGTTTGATTTGTTCTTTTGCTAGAAAATAAATAAACCTTCAATCATTATTTTAGACCTCTTTTTAATATAAGCACCTAAAGTCATTAATTTCTGTCCAGGTTCATAAATTTTGAAATTTTGTGTTTCATTTTTTATTTATTTCAAAATATCTTTAAATGTTCTTTGAGATTTTTTTGGCTCATGGGTTACTTAAAAGTATGTTATTAAATTTTCAGATATTTAAAAGAAATTCCAAGTGTTTTTTAGCCATTCAGCTCTAGTGTAATTCTCTTATAATAAGAGAGTATTTATTGTATGATTTCAGTTCTTTAAAATTAAGACTTGTTTCTATTTTCCCCTGTTTTTTGTGCTATTTTTGCCGTTCATTTTACTTTTATATTTTGCGAACCCCACAATACATTGCTATTATTTGAAAATCAATTATCTCATACCTTTTTTTTTTTTTAGCCAGAGTGGGGTTTTCTTTATTTGATTTTGCAAAATCAGGCGCCCAGCTCCTTAGACGTGGACAGAGACACCACATGGCCCTTCACAAACGGTTTTTATTCTTGTCCCCCCAAAAACCCCTCCAGTTCCAGTTCTCCATATACAGTTCTATGGTACATCCCATTTTCCCTCCCTGCAGAGAAGCCAAAATAGCTTTCCCAAGGTCTTAATGGCTGTATTTTTATTTAAATTTCCTAGTCCCAGAATGTTGTTGTTAAGTACCTTAGAGTTGGTTCCTACTCTTAGTGACCCTACACAGGATTTCCGAGGCTGTAAATCTTTATGGGAGCAGAACGCCTCATCTTTCTCCTGCAGAGTCGTTGGTAGTTTCGAACTGCTAACCTTGAGGTTGGCAGCCTGACTCGTAACCACTACGCTGCCTTAAATCAACAATCTGTCTGCCAGGTTCAACAATCTGTCTGCCAGGTCTTGCAGTCTCATGAATTCCTAAAGATGAACCACAAGAGTTATTTCTCACAAATCCTCCTCTTTTCTATTTACACATACTGGTCTCATCTTCATTTATTCGTCTTAAATCCTCATAAAGTGTATCATTTCTGGGCGTCCCTAAGAGTACAGCTAACTATGCATATATATTAGGTTGCATCATGCTTAAGTCTGACATAATATAACTAAAATACATACAACCGAAAACGCACTGGCCCCATTTTCTCCATATATTTCGCAAATGAACAAATGATAAATATTTGATGAACACATATATGTCCTAAAGTCAATCTCTAGCCCATAGGTACACAGCCTCATTCAGTCCATGGGCCTAGAGACCACAGCTGCTCCATGTCACCACTTCTGCCACCATCTCTGCTGCCGCTGCTTCTTCAGGCAGAGTTCCCAAGTTCCACTTCTGCTCTTCCTTCTTGATGTCCTGGGATAAAAATAACTATTCCCTCCTTTTAGTTACATATCTTCTACAATTACAGTTCTGACCATCACAACTAATACTGCATTTGAAATAATACAATCTCATAAGCATTATTCTATAACCCCTTTCACCAGACACATCTGGGAAACAGCAAAACTAGTCTGTGGGGATTTTCCCTTGACCCCTCATTCTAAAACCAAGCACATCCATGAAAATGTGTCAAGTCAGTCACTTACTCAATTGTCGTCAACTGCTGTTGAGTTGACTCTGACCCTTAGCGACCCTGTATATGGCTTCCAAGGAGCAGCTGGTGAGCTTGAACCACCAACCTAACAGTTCAGATGGCTTTGCAGTCTGGCGCATTAGCCCACAGCGCCACACCAGAATGTTGTTGTTGTTAGGTGCCATCGAGTCAGTACCAACTCATAGCGAAGAAAACACTGCCCGATCCTGGGCCAACCTCACTACCGTTGCCACGCTTTGAGTCCATCGATGCTGCCACCTGGCCAATCCATCTCGTTGAGGGTCTTCCTCTTTTTCTCTGACCCTCCACCTTACCAAACATGATATCCTTCTCCAATGACTAGTGCCTCCTGACAATATGTCCGAAGTATGAGAGA